TGTAGTTGACACTGAGACCATTGCTGTGTTCAGGTCCAGACTTGATGCAGTTTTGAATTCTCTTTAATTGAAATGGCGAGCTTAGTTGGGCCGAATAGCCTGTTCTAATCATAATATGTTCTTATGTTCTTATGTTGTATAGCTGTCAAACTACAGATGGTGCTTTTTACACATTTTGAGTCTTCATTGAAGTGGAGTTTGATCTCTTTTTTCCGGTTTATATACTTTTAAATGTATTTTTTTTTCAATGTTAAGGGGCATATGCAAATGCCTATCGTGGCATATTCCCCTGATACTTATACACTCAGTGACCACTTTATTATGTACACCTGTACACCTGCTCGTTGATGCAAATATCTAATCAGCCAGTCATCTGGTAGCCATTCAATGTATAAAATCACGAAGACATAGTCAAGAGGTTCAGTTGCTGTTCAGGCCAAACATCAGAATGGGTAGGAAATCTGATTTAAGTGACTTTGACCGTTGGGATGATTGTTGGTACCAGACGGGGTGGTTTGAATATCTCAGAAACTGCTGATCTCCTAGGATTTTCACGCACAACAGTCTCTAGAGCAGGGGTGTCAAACTCATTTTCACTGAGGGCCACATCACTAAATTTCTAGGTCATCGAGGGCCAAATAATCATTGAAATAATCATTCAAAAAGGGCAACCATGAAATCTGCATGGCAGTACGATTTGTTTTTTCAAGACAGTTTGAACACCGTTTCATTGGGAATCAGTAAAACAACTTCTAGGCTAATTTCCCATTCATTTTATTTGATTCCATTTCAATACATTTCCAACTTTTTTGTTTCATATCTTTTAACATAGAAATATTAATGAAAATGAGTGCATTCAACAATTTCAATATGTCAACAGGCTGTAAACTTGCCATATTGAACTTGCCTGTCCTCACCACTCCAAAAACTGTGTGGCAGTAAAAACTTAACAATTTGGTTTCAAAAGTAACATCTGTCAAATTCAACTTCCATACATTTCCCATGCATGCATTCATTCATTCATATGATGTTTTCGACACACAGGCCTAACATGTAGTATAATTATTAACATTAATGAAAAACCAAGAGCAGTCAACAATTTACATTCACTATGTCCTTTGTGGCAGTAAAAAGTGTATTTGTGTGTGTGTGTGTGTGTGTGTGTGTGTGTGTGTGTGTGTGTGTGTGTGTGTGTGTGTGTGAGAGAGAGATTTAGTTGCTTTTCCCTGACATCTGGCATCTCTTGGTCTTGACCAGCAAATCAAAATCAGGATTTAGTTTCTGCACTGTTGAAACCTTCATGATATGATTAAGGTGGCTATGTGTAATTCGAGATCTCTGTGCAATTTTGTTTATATTCATTACAGAAAATGCTTGCTCACAAAGATATGTAGTCCTAAACATAGAGAGAAGCCTGGCTGCAAAAGCAGTTACTTTGGGATAACGGGACCCAAGACCCTGATAGAATGCTTCAAGGCTCACTGTATCAAAACGTTGCTTCAATAGGTGTCGCATTGTAGATCAATCAGCTCCAACTGGAGATCTGCAAACGGCACGTCAGTAGCGCTGATGGTGAACAGAGCAATAAATACTGAGAATTGCTTCTCAAGTTCACAGAATTCATTCTTCAGTGCAGCTATCTTCTCTGTGTAGCGGCGGCCCAAGTGAGCAGTAGTAGCGGATTGCAAGGCCAAATAGGGAAAATGCGCTAGGTTACTTTGGGAAAGTTGTGTTTCCCAAAGGCTTAGCTTACACTCGAACGCAGGAATACTTGCGTACAGGTCAGTGGCCAGTTTTTTCCGACCTTGCATGGTCGTGTTCAAGTCATTCAAGTGCCCTGTAATGTCAACCATAAATGCGAGATCACAAACCCAGTCCGGATCTCTTAGCTCTGCAACAGGTCTCCCTTTAAAAGTCATGAATTCGGCTATTTGTTCTCGTAGATCAAAAAATTGTTTTAATACAGGAAGGTGACAGTATCCCAAATAACCACACGTTACAACAGTGCTATGCAGAAAAGCATTTCTGAACATACAACACGTTGAACATTGAGGTGGATGGGCTACAGCAGCAGAAGACCCCTCTGGGTACCACTCCTGTCAGCTAAGAACAGGAAACTGAGGCTACATTGGGCACAGGATCACCAAAACTCGACAGAAGACGATTGGAAAAACATCGCCTGGTCTGACAAATCTTGATTTCTGCTGTGACATGCAGATGGTAAGGTCAGAATTTGGCGTAAACAACATGAATCCATGGATCTATCCTGTCTTGTGTCAATGGTTCAGGCTGGAGGTGGTGGTGTAATGGTGTGGGGAACATTTTCTTGGCACACATTAGGCACCTTAATACCAATAGAGCATCGTTTAAATGCCACAGCCTACCTGAGTATTGTTGCTGACCATGTGCATCCCTTTATGACCACGGTCTACCCATCTTCTAATGGCTACTTCCAGCAGGATAACGTGCCATGCCGCAAAGCACACGTCATCTCAAACTGGTTCCAGGAACATGACAATGAGTTCAGTGTACTCCAATGGCCTCCACAGTCACCAGATCTCAATCCAATAGAGCACCTTTGGGATGTGGTGGAACAGGACATTCGCAGCATGAATGTGCAGCCAACAAATCTGCAGCAACTACGTGATGCTATCATGTCAGCATGAAGCAGAATCTCTAAGAAATGTTTACAGCACCTTGTTGAATCCATGCCACAAAGAATTCCTGCCATTCTGGGGGCAAAGGGGGGGTCCTACCCAATATTACAGAGGTGTACTTAATAAAGTGGTCACTCAGTGTATATATGAACATGTGTAGGACACAATGCGTCTAACTTGAAGGGTTAAATTCAGTATTACTATGCAAGAGGCAGAGACCCTTGCTGTGTTCAAGTCTAGACTTGATGCAGTTTTGGATACTCTTTAATTAAGAAATGGCAAGCTTAGTTGGGCCGAATGGCCTGTTCTCGTCATAATATGTTCTTATGTTCTTATGTTCTTAAGTCATGGATTCCTATAATAGACAGGTCGGTGCCTTGACTCAAAGAGTCCAAAAGAGACTAAATTATTTTACTGCTAGAGTTAAGGTTTCCTTCAAATATTGAGCTTCTCACATTGCGTAAGAACCCAGATGGCTACTTCCTGATTTGCTCTTTGGACAGGAATACATGCTATTGTATTTTTGGGACAGATAATAGAATGAAATGAGTGAACGTGTACAGAAAGTCTCTGTGAAGTACTTCATCTCCTCCTGCTGAACGCCGATGGATTAACCTGAAACAGATTCATTTGGATGCACCGAGACTCATTAAAAATGGCATAATGAGACAAGCAAGTGATATGAGACATCCAAAATGAAAATTCCCATTGAATTCTTTTACATGAATACCTGTCCTTAAAGGTCCAGTAAAATTAAGACAGACACAGACTTTACATGCAGGACACATGTTTATTCTCAGTGACCATGCACACCCACAAAAATCTGTTTTTATTGTCTTGGATACTGAAAGAATCCCTTCTACCTGCCTCAGACTATGTACACATGTGTGCAAAGGTAACATTTCTAGTTTATTTTCACAAATGTCACTACACCATGCATTTATAGTAGGCCTATTTGTTGTTTTAGAAAACTCAACCACAGAATTAATAGTGCTATAAATATAGATGTTAAATTTAAAAATAGAATTTTCATTGGTATAAAAGCATATTGCAATATGTGGAATTTAAGTTTAAAAATGTGACTTTGTTTTCAACTGATGCTGATAGAAATGAGGAAGTTTCGTTTGATATGAATGCTATGCTATGTAACGGCTATGCAGCTAAATACATTGTACAAGCAGTTAAGATTGGTCCGTCTAAATCTGTCTGTCAGACTTACATCTGCGTCTGTTTGCAGATTAGAAACCAAGGCTCTGGTCCAAAGACTACTAATTATACTGTACAGGGCACACAGAACAAAACCCCTTCCCTGAGAATATGGGAAGTGAATCAGCAGAACTTCCCCATAAAGTTACTGTGCCCTGAAATTCTACCTGTAAATACATGAGCGCAGACAATAATAATGCAGGTCCCTGCCTGAACCAGAGGAGGAGCTCTGCTGTTAGCAGGACTGGTAAAGTCCTCTTAGTTTCAGTTCCTCCTGCCGGCTCCTCTTTGTGTGGCTCCTCCATACAGTTGATTAAATATGGCAGCAAGCTTAAGCTTAATGCTCTCTTAATGCCAGTACATGAAGATCTGCACAAAGCTTTAGAGCAGACAGACAGAGCATGTTTCCACACAGCAGCATGGGCACTGCTTAATGCAGAACTACACCCCCCCCAGCACTCTTAATACAACTTCCTCTTTTTCAGTAATACACTATGAGAACCACAGACAGCATTTTCAGAAAGTTTCTATTTCACTCTCTTAGATGTGCTTGCTGTCTGCAGTCTCCAGGGACTGACTAAAGAAAATGTACAAAATGGTAAGTTTGCAATATTTTGTACATTATCATGTCCCGCAGTCAATAGAATTTTGCTTTGCTTAACCTTCAGTGTTGAGGATATCAGCTGAAACACAGTGAAGTCTAAACAAGGGTATTTGTTTCATTAACTGAAGAATGTGTCCTCATGCAAAAAAAAACTATTAAGACAAGAATAAGGAACGAAAGAACATTATAATGACAGGAAAGGCTTGACTTGGGTCATAATTATTGTAATTATGATGGCAGGCTTTATTTCTGTGTCTCTGGTCCTGCATCAAAAATGACAGCATCAAATACAGTTGTATAAATAAAATAAATACAACTGAAATAAATATTTAAATAACTAATAACCAAACAAAACACAAAAACTAGACACAACAGATATCAGTGAAAAGTCATTGTGCTGGATTTGGTTTGGTTACATTACATTATTGCCATTTAGCAGAGCAACTGCCATAGGTTACAATTTTTTACATGTTACCCATTTACACAGCTGGATATTTACTGAGTCAATTTTGGGTTAAGTACCAAGGGTACAACAGCAGTGCCTGGGAGAGAATTGAACCAGCAACCTTTCAGTTACAAGTCCTACTCTTTACCACTAGGCTACACTGCTGCACTGATTGGACAGAAATGTACTTTTAGCTCATTTCTAACTGTGCCCATCCTCTGGTTCAAAGCAACTTTGCTTGATATATCCTTGGTGTTACACCTTATGAATCCCTTTTACATATTTAATCACGTAAACTACACTGTGCTTCTTTTAATTGAGGTTCATGAAAGTAAGTCATCTTTTCATCTACAAGACTTTTACCTAATCTTGTAGCCTTTCACTGTGCTTTTACAAGAGCTTCTATGTCCATTATACTGTGTGGTGACCAGAACTGAACACAATACTCTCCTGCAGACTATCTATACTGTAATTTTAGCGCAACATGTTTTGACTCATAATCTATATGTTGTGCTGTATTTCCCCACATCCTGTTTTTACTGAATGTGAGATGACCACCTTGTCAGAACTGATGTACTTTAACAGCTTGGGAATGTGAATGTATCAGAACAATATAAAACAACTGCAGTGAGACACTCATTCCCTCCTGAAAGCAAAGAGAAAAACTCTATCGAAACATTGACAACATTCAGTGGTTCAGTTTTATATTTCTGGATACATTTTCACAGCTTAAATCTGTTTTTTTGAGGGATAGTTTAAGTGGCCCTTATTCATATCCTCCTTTCAATATAAGCTTTATTTATGGTTTAATTCTTTTTAGTGTTGTAGTTTTCATTGGATCCAGTGATCACTTTCTTGTTTTCCAATCAAAATTTCCTTGCTGGGATTTACAGAAATACTTTATCTTTTCTTTGAGGTGCAGGGCTACTCCTGCTCCTGATTAGTTTGACCTGTCCTTTCTAAAGAGATGAATAAAGTGAAAGAGGTAAATAACTTGTTACATATGATAGCAGATTTAAGGCTGAGCCTAGGGTGACTTTCCTATTCAAAGTCAGTATTTTACCATTGGTAGATTTTCACCAAGACAACCTCAGCACTTGCACAGAATAGCAGAGGCAAGATGAACATAATCCTCCATCACACTTGCATGCAGCCAAAAGCTATTTTTCACAAGTCACACAACACATTGCAGTTGAGTGGGTGCTCATTGCAGGATAGGTGTTACTCCACTAACTTCATCTAAACAACTCACAGGCACCTGATAAATTGCCAGGTACCTGTAAGGGACAAGACAAGGAAAACCTTCCCATCTTTTACACTGGCAGAGCAAAGCCAGTTTATGGGAGCCAGCTTAATGTTATATTAATATTAATAACATATAATAATGAATAATGTGTATAAAATGTACATATAACCAAAACTGGGTGCTGGGTGTGCACAAAATTGTGCCTCCACAGCGACTCCATTTTAGTATGTGTTAATACTGCATGTAAGGATCACCCCAGCATATTTTGACTTTGGACACAAAGCTGTGTTCTGGTATGCAAGTGACACACTGCTGTCTTTGCAGGTAATCGCGCGCTGCTGGACTAACATGCACATCCTTCTACTATGCTCTCTGCTCAGGCATGCTGCATGCGGATGGGTCTCCCGGACACTACCATGCGACGTCACTGTGGACAATGACACCAATGCCATTGTGTTCAATTGCGAGCACCGTGGACTGAAAGAGGTGCCTGCCGGAATCACAGGGAACGCCACTGTGCTTACACTCTCAGAAAACAAAATTAAAAACATTTCTGTCAACGCTTTCCATAGTCTGTGGAACCTGACAGACCTAGACCTCAACTGGGCCAACAAAAACCACGAGGTGCAAATCTCCAGAGGGACCTTCTACAATCTGACAAACCTTAAGGAATTGAAGCTGTGTGGAAATGCTCTTCTGGAGGTTCCAGAAAAACTCCCACGTGGACTGAAAATACTAATGCTGGAAAACAACAAAATTACATCCCTCAGCCCAAAAAGCTTCTCTGAGGTGCGAAACATCACTGAACTCTACCTGTCCAAAAACTGCTACTACTGGAACCCTTGCAATAAATTCTTTGATGCTGGAAATAGGAGCTTCTCACACTTGACTCATTTGCACATTTTGACATTGTCCTACAATAACTTAACTCATGTTCCAAAAGGACTCCCACGGTCTCTGGAAACACTGGAGTTAGGCTCCAACAAAATACAGCAGTTCGGGGAGGAGGATTTCAGAGAGCTGACCAACCTGAAAGTTCTCAAGCTGCAGGGAAACTGTCCCCGATGCCACAATGCTCCATACCCGTGCATCCCCTGCCCAAATGTATCCCTTCAGATACACCCTCTGGCCTTCTGCAGTCTCACCAATTTAGAGATGCTGCACCTTGCAGGGAATAGTCTCAACACCATAAAAAGCTCTTGGTTTGAAAATCTGTCAAATCTAAAAGTCCTTTTCTTGTCTTATAACTTTTTAGTCAGTGCTATTGCTGAGGGCAGCTTTTTGAGGTATTTACCAAATCTGCAGAAAATTGACTTGTCCTTTAACTACGAATTGAAGTCCTACCCTCTGACACTTAACCTGTCCACACACTTTTCAAAACTTAAGTCCCTTGAGACATTGCATATAGAGGGTTACGTTTTTAGACAAATTTGCATCAATACTTTAATGCCTCTTTCAGGTCTGAAAAATCTCTCTGTGTTGAACCTGGGGACAAATTTCATTGTAAGTGCAGATCACTCAGAGTTTGCAAAGTTTTCCAATGTGAAACTCATATATTTGTCAGAAAACAGGCTTTATCCCAAGTCCGTAAATGCATATGGTATCACAGGAAACCAATTTCTCAATAATATTTCTGACACACCCCCTCTGACAGGATATGACTTAAATAAGAAAGACATTTTGTATGAAATAACACATGGTCTTGTGCAGCACGAGTGCTTTATTACCGGTCGAGTTCTGGATCTCAGTTCTAATAACCTCTTCTTCATTTCCCCAGAGCAATTTGAGGGCTTTGGGAACATCTCCTGTCTGAACCTTTCCAAAAATGGCTTTGCAGCCGCTTTGAATGGAACTGAATTTGCTTCATTACCAGACTTGAGGTACCTGGACCTGTCCTATAACAAGATAGACTTAGCCTATGATAATGCCTTCAAAGAATTACAAAGACTGGAAGTATTGGACCTAAGCTACAACCCCCATTATTTCAGAGTGGCTGGAGTGACGCACAATTTGAATTTTTTGAAAAACCTCCCTGCTTTAAAAGTGCTGAACCTGAGCTGCAATGAGATTTTCACTTTAACCAGTAAAGAGATGAACAGCAGTTCCCTCAGAGAGCTGCAGTTCCAATACAACCAGCTGGGCAGGCTATGGAAGGAGAGGGACAGCTCCTACAGCAAGCTTTTCAAGAACCTGGTGAATTTGACGTACCTAGATATATCTCGCAACAACATCGGAAAGATCCCACGGAAAGTCTATGACAACTTACCTCAGAACATACGTAAGCTATGTTTGAGCCACAATTCAATAGCAAGTTTTCAGTGGGAGAAGCTTAAAAGGTTCCAGGACCTTCGGGTTTTGGATCTAAGACACAATTTCATATCAGTGTTGTCTGTAAACCTGTCAGACTTCACCAAAACGCTGGAGTGGCTCGATCTCAGTCATAACCGAATCACACAGCTGTGCAAAGGTTTTCTCAGGGGAGCCAAGAGCCTGCGGGTTCTTGATCTAAGTCACAACAAGCTGAACCTAATCAACCAGTCCACATTTGAGTCTGGGAGAGAAAATTCTCTCCAGACGCTGTCCCTGGAGGGGAACCCATTCCACTGTACGTGTGACATCTTAGAGTTCATCCTGTGGATCAACCACAATGATGTGAGGATCCCTCGGCTGGCCACAGGGGTAGCGTGCGACATTCCCACTGAAAGGAAAGGCAAAGGGGTGATACTCTTTGACATTGGAGAATGTATAAATGATAATGTGGCATTCCTTATCTACTTCCTCTCCACGCTTTTTTTCATTTGCATTATGGCCACAGCCATCACAATGCACCTATTCTACTGGGACGCCTCCTACATTATGCACTACTGGTGGGCCAGGATGAAGGGGTATCATTATCTGAACTCCGCAGACAGCATCTATGATGCGTTTATTACATATGATACCAAAGACCCACTGGTGTCGGACTGGGTTCTGAACCATCTGCGTGTGGAGCTGGAGGAAGGTGGGGACAAGCTTTCGCTCATCTGCCTGGAGGAGCGTGACTGGGCGCCGGGGATCCCCATGATTGACAACCTCTCACAGAGCATCAGGCAGAGCCGCAAGACCGTCTTTGTGCTGACTGAGAGGTATGTCCAGAGCGGGACCTTCAAGATGGCTGTGTACCTGGCTCATCAGCGGCTGCTGGATGACAATGCTGACGTGATCGTGCTGCTGCTGCTTGAGCCTGTGCTGCGCCACTCCCACTTCCTGCGTCTGCGCAGGCGGATGTGTGGGCGCAGCATCCTGGAGTGGCCCAGGAACCCCTCTGCCGAGCAATGGTTCTGGCAGTGCCTGCGGAATGCCATCAGGGTGGACAACCAGACCATGTACAGCAAACTCTACTCCAGATACTTCACTGCAAAGTGAAAGCCCAACATCTACGGCTGTAACCATCAGCGTGAAGAGCCAGACCATGTACAGCAAGCTCTATTGCAGCTACTACACCATCAAGTAGACCCCTGTGGCCATGAGTGATACTGACTCTCACTAGACCTTCACAAACATGGGCGAATGGCAGGATCCCAGAAATGGCCTCTGTCACAGGCTGGTGTCCTCCAGGGTAAAGTCAACACTTTCAAAACAGAGAAACTTGTCAACTCATTTTGCCTGTGACATATTTGTGATGCCGTTATCAACACCTGACTGCAGATTTCTCCATTTAAATCCAACAGTAATCCTTACAGACAGAGTTCACTAACCCTAAACTTGACCCTGCACCACCAATCTAAATGATCAGAGTCAGAGCCCAACCACAGCCTTATGAAGATATCAAAAGTATAAATGTGCTTCAGCTAATGCTCAAGTACAATGAAGCTGTATGTATTTTGATTGTGACAATTATATAGCTATTTGTTTTGCATGCAAACTTCATATTTTGTAT